CACAACGACATTTCCAAAAACACAACGACATTTCAAAAAACACAACGACATTTCCAAAAACACAACGACATTACAGAAAACACAACGACATTTCAAAAAACACAACGACATTTCAGAAAACGGAAAGGGTAGGACTAAACTTCTTGTTCGTGATTGGACAGTATCCTTGGAGTGACATGGGTACTGTCCAATCACGAACACGAAGTGTGGTCCTACCCTTTTCCTGATTGCGATTGAAGAACTCAAACACGTCTTAGACAATTTGGACTGAAAAGACGGAGCGGGTACTCCTCAGAAACTGATATTAGAAGGGCTATTTTATCGGAGCTGCGTGGACCTGGACAGATGTTTGGATATAGAACTATGTGGATGACTTTAAAGATGAAACATGGTCTCTGTGTTAAGAGGGAGACTGTAATGCAGATGCTTCGTGAACTGAACCCACGTGGAACTTTTGCACGGACACGTCGTAGATTTATTAGGCGCACGTACCATTCTATGGGCCCAAATTACTTATGGCACGTAGACGGTTATGATAAATTGAAACCGTTTGGTTTTGCTATATCTGGGTGTATAGATGGGTTCTCCCGCAGAATCATGTGGCTAAAATGTGGGCCAACGAACAACAACCCAGAAGTAATAAAAGACAACTTTATTAACTGTATTGCTAGTGTTGGCGTCATTCCCATGAGACTGCGAACAGACTGCGGAACAGAGAATGGGTCAATAGCTGCAGTCCAGTGCACTCTTCGTCATCATCTTGAAGGCGCATGACTCCAATATTTGTCTGTACAAAGAAAATCAGGTGTCAATCGGTACATAACTCATACATAAAATATTGTGCAGTGCTAATAACCTGAAGTGTACAATACTTACAGGGGCGGTTCTGGGGGGTGGGTTTGCAGGGGACTGAACCTGGTTCTGTCCCAATTTGACGGATCACCCCAATTAAATCATATGGACATCATGATAAAGCTATTCTCCTATCCATACTTATATTTTAACAAACATTATTGCTTTGTTGGTACTTAGGAAATGTGTAGATGAATCATTATTGTATTTATCTTTTGACTTTTTATTAACTGATATTATGAGGTGGCTATAGTATGGAAGGTGTTAGGGCTCAGTGAGAAACCAGTATCTATTTGTGTTCTATTTAATTGTATATAATGTGCATATAACAAGGGCATCTGCACGAATGTAAAATAACTACAGCTAATAGCGCTACGCTGCTTACCTGTACTTTTTTCTGCTCCTTCTTCTTAATACTTTTCTTATGGCAAGAGAAATTTTTCCTCTCCTTCGACTTCTTATTCCTGTACTCAAGGAAGGTTTTGAGGGATGGCATATTCAGAGCTGCTGCCGCAGCTACAGAGAAAAGAGTGTGTTGTATTTTTGCGATATACGTTTTATGAGGTTTAATTGAAGAAGAAGCAGCTTATCGGCGGAAACATAAATCTAAGTAAAAACCTATACAGTTTAACGTTTGATCGACCTGAAGTTGGGCCAGTGGTGTCCTCTTCATGTCCACTTTCCTTTAAGAAGGTCAGTGATTTCCCATACTCGTCGCAGAATCTTGGCAGTGACTGAAACCTCTTCCCACAATACGGACAATACATAATCTATTTATCTCCGCTAACACTCGCACAAAAACAAAGTACAAACAAGAAATGAACAGTCGTGAGTGACATGGGTAGGGTCCAATCGCAATCAGGAAAAGGGTAGGACCACACTTCATGTTCGTGATTGGAGAGTACCCATGTCACTCCAAGGATACTGTCCAATCACGAACAAGAAGTTTGGTCCTACCCTTTCCGTTTTTTGAAATGTCGTTGTGTTTTTGGAAATGTCGTTGTGTTTTTTGAAATGTCGTTGTGTTTTTGAAAATGTCGTTGTGTTTTCTGTAATGTCGTCGTGTTTTTGGAAATGTCGTTGTGTTTTGTGTTTTTTTAAATGTCGTTGTGTTTTTTGAAATGTCGTTGTGTTTTTGGAAATGTCGTTGTGTTTTGCCCTTCAGGGCCACCGTACTCTTTAGCGGTTTTTGCTGATTGCATTTAAGTACAGAAATGTACCTGATAAACCATCCTTCATGTCTCTTTGGCATGTGTGTTAATTGTGGATGGTGAATAAAAATAACATTGAAGTAATGTTTTGTTTTGTATGTGTGTTTTCACAGTCCATGCCCAGGCGAAGTTCCCTGACATCACCATGCAAGATATAAGACGAATCATAAGAAAGAAATGCAACAATATAAGCTACGCCAAGCAAGTGACTGAAAAGAAGTCATAAAAGTAGCGTTTTTGTTTCTATCGAGTTATTTATTTTTGGATCCAAAGATGTATGTGCAGTTTTCTTTTACCTTTTTTTTTTTTTGATAAGTAACAACTTCAGTTCTCAGTTTTTGTTTACATTTTTACAAGCAAATGCACTTTTTCCTTACCATTTTTTACAAAGAAGGGCTTGATCTTGGAGAGACTATTATGTTTACATTTTTACATGCAAATGTGCACTTCTTCCTTTCATTTCCTCAGCAAAGAAGGACTTGATTTCATTGAGGCTCTTTGTTTTTGAAATGCATATGTATGTTGAAAAATGTTATATAAATATATCAAACTTGTTCTCAACGTTCTGTCTTGTGATTTTGTAAATACAATGCAGTCTAGTGTACATACAGTATGAGTTAAATTTAAGAATACTTTAAGAAGTATATAAGTATACTTCTTCAAGTATATAAATGGTATTTATAATACATATTGCTACAAGTAATATGCCAAGCAAACTTACAAGTATACTTAAAGTATAACAACTAGTAAAATAGCAAAAATATATATTTTTCAGTTTTAGTAATTGTAACTTCATAAAAGTATACTTCAAATGTACTTCAATAAACTAAAAATGTGGACTAGAAGTATATAACTAGTACAATGGCAGTATATAGAAAAGTGTATCTGTGGTATATTTTTAATATACTTAAACTAAAATGTGGACTAGAAGTATATACCTCGTACACTAGTAGTATATATAGACGAGAGTACTTGTATACTTGAAAGTATACCTTTGTAAAATTAAAATGACATTATAAAGTATACTTTTATAAACTTAAAAATGTTCCAATTTAGTCCGAAGAAGTATTAAATTGGTATACTTTCTAGTAAGTTACAAGTACATGGTCCGTAGTAAACTTGCTATACTTATACTTATACTCAAGCATACTTAATAACATGAACTTAAAGTATTAAGTACTTTTTACTAAGGGATAGCATGTTTTCACTATGGAATCTTTATACTGAGCATTTACTATATATTACATTGTATTTATCAGTTAAATGAATAAAAATGTGCTGCTGAAGAAATCTATTTTGTCTCCTTTTGTACTTAAATGTAAGTACTGTAAATGTAATTTTATGACAAGTGTCATCCACATAGATTGTCTATTCCAGTTCTTGATTGATACTTTAACATTGTTGTAACTTAATTTATATTAATGATACAAAACCATGATAAGATATGTCATCCCTATTGTTGATATGTATTTTTAATATTATAGAGTCATGCCTGAATGAAAATCTTCTCAAAGAAAGAGACAGATTAATTGGGAGGATTAAACCTTGTGCTGATATGTCTGGCAAAAGAAGAATTGTAAAGCCAAAAAAACTGACAGATGACGTGAATGAAATTCCTGTTAGCTCAGGCCTGGTAAGTACACTCATTTTGCTGGTCCACTATAGGCTATCCACCATATTTTGCAATGTGAAAGCATTGCAGTATAAAGCAGCTTAATGGACTGTTTTTGTACATGCAAAATAACTGGAAGCGAATGACATCAGAAACCAAACACATTAAAACTTGCCCTGTGTCTTGTGAAAAATAATGTGAATATTTTTAAACAACATTTGTTCCACACAGTGACATAATTAGTATTTAGGATTTTGTTTAATATTTCGATTATATATTTTTACTTTTTTTTCTTTAGCCAGCAAAAGTAAGGAAAACTGAATCAAAACCTGGACAGCATTTGATGGAGCAATTAATTAAACAGAGGTCTGAGAAAACAGGCAAGTATAAAATGCTACTATTATGAGTTCCAGAAACATTTGGGCAAGGGTGCCCCAACTCGGTCCTTGGAGGGTTGGAGTGTCCTGCAGAGTTGAGCTCTAACCCCAATAAGACCTGAACCAGCTAATCAAGCTCTTACTTGGCATACTAGAAACATAAATTGTCTTACTACCGTTTGAATGTTAGTCACGTGGTACTATATCGTTTCGCGTCGGGTCCTGATCACACTGTCGGGGCTTATTTCTGCGATAACTACCGGCTGCCTGTACATTATCCCTTACTTAAGCATTTGATGAACAGTTTGCGGCCACACCAATGTACTAATGGTACAACTCACAGCACAAATTGTAAGATAAAAAAAATGGAACAAAAGAAAATCGTTTCGATTTATTTTATATTGTTTTATGTATTCAAATGATCGTTTATAAAGTCACAATTTAGCAGAAGCAAAATTGAAAAAAGAGAAAATTAAGTAAATGAAAATGAATGTTTTGGTGCCATTTTTGCATTTGCACCATATGGTCTGAAACGTGAATTGTGAAGCAATACATAGACCAAAATAATGAATACAAATTAAAATGAAGTGCAAAGAAGCCAATTTTCATAGGACAGACATTGCTTTTGGAAAACCCTGTATTCAAAAACTGTAAATATGTGTATTACTTATGCATCTTTAAAGGCACCTGTAAATGAATCAATAAATGACATGCAGAGAAGAATGAAGGAGCTTCAGGATGACAACAAACAGCTCAAAGAGGAGCTTGAAAACTGCAGGAGACAAATGAATGCACATAGATCCTTTGAGTCACTTCTTGCAGGTATTTACATTTATTACAAGTTCATTTATAATCCACCAAATGTTATAAAACAAACAAGTGCAATAGATGGTAGACATTTAATTTCAGAAAATTATTATTAAAATGTGGTTGCTTTTCAAGGTGCACTGTTATAACAAGGAAAACACTGTGTCAAAATCTTGTTACAGAGATTCCTGGTCTTCTTAATGATATAAAAAATCTGAGGGAGTCACAACCTCAAACTGAGCCTGAGGTAATTAATAACTTCATTTATGAAAAAGTTTTTGTTCTCAAATTTGATTTGTCAAGGTTGATTCGATTGCATGTTGAATGTTTTTTTCGGAATGGCCACCTGAAGGTAAAAAAAAAAAAATATATATATATAGCTTCCTGCCATTGACCGCCAGGTTTGTAGTGAGTAACTAATGTATTGAGATAGTGATATTAAAAGACCCAATTCAATGTACCTTACTGATGATGCATTCTATGTTTGGCCCAGAGTATAAATACAACATGCATTGTTATTAAGTGTTTTTTTTTCTCCATAGAAAACCATTATAATGCATTAGTTATTTAAATATTATATGCATTATTAGTAGACCTTGAATTCAGTTAGGAGTCATTCAGTTCATGACCCTCTTAAAATGTCTTGCCAAATACACATGGCTGCCTGTTCAACCAAAAATAAAAATTAGCCCATTATTTACTGACCCTCCAGGCATCTTAGTTGTATATGACTTCCTTCTTTCAGACGAATCCAATTGGAGTTATAATGAAAATTGTTCTGGCTCTCACAAGCTTTATTATGGCAATGGGTGGGTGTTTCTCTTCATCAGTCCAAAACAAATCCAATAAAGCGCATCCATCTATACTAAAAAGTGTCTCGCACAGCTCCATGGGGTGAATAAAGGCCTCCTATAGCGAATCTATGTGTTTTTGTAAACAGAATATCCATATTAAAATAGTAATCCATAGTAATCCATAGTAATCACTTCAATCTAGCTTGTACTTGCTTACAGGAGGCAAAGGAAGCAAAGTCTCCTTACTTTAGCAAAGGAAATCCAGTCTCCTCTTGGCTTATATCGAAATCCTCCTTGTTTTGTACTTGTAATTCGCGAGCATTGTTTTGTTTTGGTCTCTCCGCTGCGCGTCCGCATTTGTCACTTCTCAGCGTCATCCGCCCAGAACAGCTTAAAGATTAAAGTGATTATTACATTTTAAATATGGATATTTTTCTTACAAGAAGCATTAACTCGCTACAGGAGGCCTTTATTCACCCCCCGGAGCCATGTGAGACAGTTTTTATTACAGATGGATGCACTTTATTATTGGACTCCAGACTAATGAAGAGAAGCACCCACCCACTGCCATGATAAAGCTTGGGAGAGCCAGAACAGTTTTCAATATAACTCTATATTCGTCTGAAAGAAGGAAGTCATTTACACCTAGGATGCCTGGAGGGTGAGTAAATAATGGACACATTTTCATTTTTAAGTGAACTATCCCTTTAAAATACTTCTCACCCAAGTCTATATTTTAGAAGCACTGTGATTAATAGTATCTTTCATAGTTAAATTAATAGTTCACCCAAAAATGAAAATTCTCTCAATTTACTAACCCTCGCACCAGGTTTTACTAAAAGTTTTACTAAAGTTGTGTTTGTTAACATTAGTTAATGAACTAGCATGAACAATGACTGTTTTTATTGACTAAAATTAACAAAATTAAGATAATTAAATATTGTAATAAATGTATTGTTTATTGTTCGTTCATGTTATTTAATACATTAATGTTAACAAATTACACATTATTGTAAAGTGTTACCAACAATACTGATTTGGCAACCTTTTGTTTAATTTATTAACTAACTTTACTGGAATTTCATTGCAGCTCTCACGCAAAGTAT